TTTTTTTTCTTTTAGGAAGTTTTTCTGTGGTATGACTGGTATACAATAAACTATACAAATACAGAGAGATGGATTGGCAAAAGTGGCAGCAGCATCAATGGTCTCAAGCATAGCAACAATTGTGAGGTTGGCCAGGATCGGACAGTGTTTCATTCTGTTGTCGCTATGCATCGGAACCAACTCAATGGCACCTAACAATAACAACGTACATATTCAGAGTATATAAGCAGATATTTTGACATACTGTTGTTAAGTGCTGTCAAGTCAGTTCTGACCTATAGCTACCCTGTATAGGGTTTCCGAGGAGCAGCTGGTGAGCTTGAGCGGCTGACTTGGCAGTTCAGATGGCTTTGCAGTCTGGCACATTAACCCACAGCGCCACACCAGGACTCCTTTGACATACTAGGGGACTTAATCAAGATAGTAAACATATCCCGTGCCCCTTAAGTGTCCTCATATCCCTCAGTCATCCCTTTCTCCTAACCCTTTCTATCCTCCCTTCCTCAGGAAACCACTGATTGATGATGACTGTTGTTGTTGTTAAGTACCATGGAGTCTGTTCTGACTCATAGTGACCCTGCACAGGGTTTCTGAGGCTGCAAATCTTTCTGGGAGCAGAAAACCTCATCTTTCTCCCGTGGAACAGCTGGTAGTTTCGAACTGCCGACATTGAGGTTATTAGCTTGACTGATGGCTAGAGAATTAAAATGTACTCCCCGGAAACCACTGTATACATACCTGCTTTGTGATAAGGATAATAATCAACCGTTAGCTGAGTGAAAGAGAGTTGCATAGCCCCTCCTGTAATACGTCTGTTTGACTCTGGGGAAAGAAAAAATGGAATTAGTTAGAAAAAACTAATCAAATATCTGAAACCTCAGTTCATCATAGAAAATCTTGACTGTACTCAGAATCCAAGTAGTAATAAACACCATGGATAGCACATTAAGAATTTTAGGAAATGAAACTCAAACCAGTAAATATTCACTGAGGCCGTATCATTTGAGACCATCAAAAATGCTGCCCGATCGTTTGTCATCTTCAAGATCTGTGATATGCTTCTGTTGTGCCAATTCATCTCACTGAAGGTTTTCCTCATTTTCGCTGACCATCTACTTACCAAACATGATCTTTTCTATAACTATGTGTGTTTAAGTGGTGTAGAATCAGTTCCGACTCATAACAACCCTGTATCAAGTTTCCAAGGAGCGGCTGCTGAGTTGGAACCGTTATGCGGTACACTGCTTTATCCTACAGCACCAGACCAGGACCGCTGATCACTGTTGTTGTTTGCGTTGAGTTAATTAGTTCTGACTTTCAACAACCCTGTGTAAGGTTTCCGAGAGCCACTGGTAAGTGTGAAGAGCTGACCTTATGGATATCAGTCCAATGCTTATCCTAGAGTGCCACACCAGGAATTTGTTAATTTCCAATTAATCTCTATTAGTAGAATATATAGTACAGATCCACAAACCCTATCTGAAACCTTTGGAGACAATATGCTTCAGGATTCAGAATTAAAAAAAAATATATATTTAAGTAATATGGTACAAATGTAGTATATTATGCAACTCTCTCAGTGGGTTGTAAGGCAGCATTAAGAAATAAAAACAGCATTTCTGCAGCAAACATAAAACATTTACACTAACTGGTTAAAACAAAAATAATAAATAACATGTTGAGTCTGGTCAGGTTTTTTCAACACATGAGTTTTTCAAAGACCTCTAAAAAAAAACCTTTAGTGAGCTTTTTGGATTTCAGCATAGCAAGTAAGTGATAATTTTATTAGAGAGCTATTTCAGTGGAGGGTTCGCTCTTAAATACCACAATTCAGCTTCTTCTAGGGCTGGGGATACAGTGAGGACTGTGAGAGAGCTTAGACAATACTGTCTCTGTTCTGTTATCTGGTACTTAAGCTTGGTCACCTCATTTTGCTATGTGACTTGTCTTTACTTTTTTTGTAAAATTTTCCTTTCAAATCACCGAAGTAGAAAATGCCAACTATAAGACAAACAACACAGTGATGGGCACAGGAAAAGATAAATTCCTTCCCAAACCCTAGTTCTTCCTCACTTTCTTCTTTACTGCTGTCATTCCTTGGAGTCCTGGTGTGGTGCTGTGAGTTAATGCGTCAGACTGTAAAGCTATTTGAACTGCAAAGTCAGTGGTTCAAGCTCACCAGTTGCTCCTCGGAAACCCTATACAGGGTCGCTATGGGTCAGAATCGACTCAATGACACATAACAACAACAACAATCATTACTTGGTGTCAGGGCTGCTTTGTCTAATGAGGCAGGGTAACTTCTACTGCTACATATCCAAGATCTCAATATTTATTCTCTCAGTTTTAAAATTCCCAAATGATAATTTCAAAAACGTAATTTCTGATTCGGGCATGAGGTACACAGGACAGGTGTCTCTACTTCAAAAAGATCCTTAGCTTGTTTCTCAAGTTGCCTAAATTTTGAGAACGAACCACTGTCCTAGAGGAAAGTCTATCTACTGAATGTTCCCAACATCTGTGTGCCAGAAGTACTTACCAGCAGAGGGGCAGAAATGTTTACTGCCTAGAGTAAGGAAGCACAGATTTTCACTGCAACCAGAAGTCACCTGATACTACTAAACTAAATAGGTAGAAATAATAGGCAAATCTTTAAAAAAAAGCAAGACTTCTTGTAAAGAGGTTAACACAGAAAAAGCACTCTCACATCCAGCACTCTTCTTAAAAGAAAATTCTTATAGAAAATTAATCCACAGGACAGAAATAAAATTATGAGAAGTTCAGAAACATGGTATGTAATATATTTAGGACAACCTTCAAATCAAAATCTGATTGAAACATCGTAAGAAAAAAAATTATAGGTCATCACTTTCATGATATTTCAAACACAGTATCAGTAATTCAAACCCAACAATATGTACCCAGATGAAGGGCTTCAAAATGTTCACGAAAAAATTAAATAAAGAAAATGGAATTTTCCACAATCTTTTTGAAGCTTCCTCGCATAATAGGATAACACACCAACAAAGTTGGGCATATTCCAGAATGTAGTAATTTTCTGAATCTGATAGTGTATCTACCAACAACCTGTAATAATTGTTTTAAATATGATTAAAATATTTCTCCTCAAAATCAGAATAACATAAATGCTTCTAATATTATATCTATTTAGCATTGTACTGGAAGTTCTAGACAATGCAGTAAGGTGAAAACATGAAATAAAAGATTACAGGATTTTGAGAGAAATAAAACAGCTAGTGCAGGATCAGCAAACCACAAGGTCAGCAGTTCAAACCCAACAGCTGCTCCTTGGAAACCCTATACAGGTTCACTTTGAGTCGGAACTGACTTCTTCTCTGCACTTAACAACATTCACAGAAAACCTAAGTAAGAAAATCCACTATGAAAAGAGATATTGACTCCTAATTACATCACAAAATAGCCTTGATGGACTAGATAGTTAAGTGGGAAAGGCATAACAAAGTTTCTGAAAGATAACCTTAAGTGAATATAGTCATGATCTTAAAGTTGACAAATAAATTAGCTATTAGTAAAGAAACAGTCTTAAACTGTTCTCTGTCATCGAGTCAGTATGATGCATGGCAACCCTAGGTACAATGGAATTGGGCTTTTGTGATTCATGGGGTTTTCAGAATTACATTGCCAAGCCTTTTTATCTAGTTTATCTTAATCTGGAAGCTCTGCAGAAAAACTGCTCGGTATCACAGTAATGCGCAAGACTCCCCTTACAGATGGTTGTGTTTGGTGCACTAGCTGGAAATTAAAACCAGGTCAGCAGAAACCAAGGTGAGGACTCTACCTCTGAACAACCACTACACTCATTGATAAGTTAGACAACATTAAAATAAAGAACTTCTGTTCATCCAACAGAACACACAAAAAGGCAGATTGTGGGGATGGGGGTGGAAAATATGTTGTTGTTGTTAAGTGCTGTCAAGTTGGTTCTGATTCATAGATACGTGTATGTTGTTGTTCGATGCAGTCCCGTCGGTACCAACTCATAGTGACCCTATGCACCACAGAAAGAAACACTGCCTGGTCCTGCGCCAACCTCACAATCATTTGTTACACTTTAAATAATTGTTGCTGCTGCCACTGTGCCAACTCAGCTCATTGGGGTGTGGGGGAGAATGTGCCTTTTTTTTTGTTGACCCTTCACTTTACCAAGCATGTTGTCCTTTCTCCAGGGACTGGGCCCTCCTGATAATATATGTCCTAAGTATGAGAGGCGAAGTCTGATCGTCCTGGCTTCTAAGGAGCATTCTGGCTGTACTTTTTCCAATACAGATTGGTTTGTTCTTTTGGCAGTCCATTGTTGTTGTTAAGTACCGTGCAGTCGGTTCCGACTCATAGTGACCCTGCACAGGTTTTCCGAGACTGTAAATCTTTACGGGAGCTGAAAGCCTCATCTTTCTCCTGAAGAACCACTGGTAGTTTCGAACTGCCAACCTTGAGTTTAGCAGCCCGCTTCGTAACAACTTACGCTAACAGAGCTCCTTTGGCAGTCCATAGTACTTTTAATATTCTCCTCCAACACCATGTCTCAAATGCATAATTCTACGGTCTTTTTTATTCACTGTCCAAATTTCTCATGTATATGAGGTTCCTGAAAATACCGTGGCTTGGATCAGGCTAGCCTTAGTCTTCAAACTGACATCTTTGTTCTTGAACACTTTAAAAAGGACCTGTGTAGATCTGCCTAATGTAACATGTCATTTGATTACTTGATGGCTGCTTCCATTGAGTGTTTATGGTTCATTTGAGCAAAATTAAACCACTGATATAACTTCAATCTTTTCTCCATTTATCATGATGTTATTTACTGCTGTAGTGGTGAGGACTTTTGTTTTCTTAACATTGAAGAGCAACCTATACCAACGGCTTTGATCTTCACCAGTAAGTATTTAAAGTTCTCTTCCCTCCCAGCAAGCAAGATTGCATCATCTGCATACTGCAAGTTGTTAATGTTTCTTCCTCCAATCCTGATGTCACATTCTTCTTCATATAATCCAGTTTCTCAAATTATTTGTTCAGCATACAGATTAAATAAGTACAGTGAAAGCAAGTGGAGCAAACCTTCCTGATTTTAAATCATTCAGTGTTCCCTTGTTCTGTTGGAACAACTGCCTCTTGGTCTATACATAGGTTCCCCATGAGCACAATAAAGTGTTTCGGAATACTCACTTTCCTCAATGTTGTCCGTAGCTTGTCATGATCCACATAATCGAAATCCTTTGCATAGTAAATAAAGCACAGGTAAACGTCTTTCTGGTATTCTCTGCTTTCATTAAAAATCCATGTGATGTCAGCAATGATATCCCTCACTCCATGCTCTATTCTGAATCTGGTTTGAACCTCTGACAGTTCTCTGTCAATATATTGTTATGGCCGTTTTAAAATTACTTTTAGCAAAATTTTACTTGCATGTGATACTAGTGATATTGCCAATGAGTTCCACATTTCATTGGGTCACCTATCTTCAGAATAGACACAAATACGGATCTCTTTCAGGTAACTGTCGTCCAAATATTGTGGCTTAGATGAGCGAGTGCCTTCAGTGACGCATCAGCTTGTTGAAAGAATTCAGTTTGTATTCCATCAATTCTCAGAGCTTTTTCCTTTACCAATGCCTTTGGTAAGCCTTGGACTTCCTCCTTCAGTATCATTGGCTCTTGGTCATATGCAACCTCCTGAAATGTTGAACACACCATTTCTTTTTCGTACAGTGACTCTGTATATTCCTTCATCTTCTTTTGACACTTTCTGCATCATTCAATATTGCAAGATGTGGCTTGACTTTTTTTTCAGTTCCTTCGGCTTGAAGAATGCTAAGCACGTTCTTCGATTTGGGTTTTCTAAGTCTGTATCTTTGCACATTTCATTATATTACTTGACTTTATTTTCTGGAGCTGTCCTTTCAAATTTCCTATTCAGCTCTTCTACCTCCCTCATTACTTCCATTTGCTTTAGCATCTCTACACTAGAGAACAAGTTTCAGAGTCTTTTCCTTTTTGTCTTCTTAATGACCTTTTGCTGATGTTCTTGATGTCATCTCACCACTCTTCCATTCTTCGATCTTTAATTTATCAAATCTGTTCTTGAGATGGTCTCTAAATTCAGGTGGGATACGTTCAAGGTTATATTTTGGCTCTCGTGGACTTGCAATTTTCTTCAGCTTTAGCTTGAACTTGCATATGAGCAATTAATGGTCTGTTCCATAGTCTGACCCTGGCCTTGTTTTGGGTTTCCATCTGGTAGGTCCAGATCCATACCTGGTCTTTTATGTTGTTTAAAAAAGGTATTTGCAATGAAGTCACTGGTCTTGTAAACTCTATCATACGATCTCCAGTATCGTTTCTATCACCAAGGCCATATTTTCTAATTACTGAGCCTCCTTTTTTGTTTCCAACCTTTGCATTCCAATCACCAGTATTTATCAGTATATCATGACTGCATACTTGAGCAATTTCTGACTGGAACAGCTGGTAGAATTTTTCAGTTTCCTCATCACTGGCTTTAGTGGTTGGCACATAAATTTGAATAATAGTTGTATAAACTGGACTTCTTTATAGGTATATGGATATTATCCTATCACAAACAGTGTTGTACTTCAAGATAGATCCTGAAATGATCTGTTTTATGATGAATACAATCTGATTCCTCTTAAATTTGTCATTCCTGTCATAGTAAACCAATTAAAATGGCCAATACCAGTCTATTTAAGCTCGCTAATGCCTAGGATATCAATGTTTATTCATTCCATTTCATTTCTGACAGCTTCCAATTTTCCTAGATTCATAATAATCTGAAAGCTCAGCTAAAACCTATCTACCATGAGTGATCCTGCCTGCATTTAAAGTACCAGTGGCATAGCTTTCAGAATCACAGCAGCACACAAGTCACCACAGTATGAAAAACTGACACACTATATATATGGATTTGTATCCAGATATATAAATAACTACAAATCAAACGTAAAGAACTATAAATGAATTGAATATCACCAGAAACTTCACAAAAGTGAATATTCAAATGGTTAATAAATATATGAAAGGTGGCTCAACCTCACTATACACTGCCCAAATTTAGATCGCAATGACATGCTGTTATATTCTGAATAGAGCGGACAAAGTAAAACGACCAGGAATAGTAAACGTAAGCAAAGAAATAAAAACTGGAACTCATACAGTGCTGGAGAAAGTGTAAATTAGCAACTGTTGTTGTTACTATTAAGTCCTGTCCAGTTGGTTACAACTCATAGCGACCCTGTACAGGGTTTCCGAGGACTGACTGGTGTGTTTGAAACACTCTCTTTTTGGTTAGCAGTCCAGTGCTTATCCTATAGCACCACACCAGAACTGCAGTATCTACTAAAAAAGAACATAATTATATGACTCAGCAATCCCATCCTTATGTATATCCCCTACCAGAAACATGTAAAGATATTTACCAAAAGAATGGTCACAACAGTGCTGTACATACAAGCCTCACACTGGGAAGAACTCAAATGTCCATAAATAGTAGAATGGATACATAAGCTATGGCATAGTTATACAGCAATGAAAATAAATGAACTACTACAGCATGTAACAAAGTAAGTGAATCTCACAAACAAAATGCTGAGCAAAGTTGAACTCAAAAGAGCATATATACTGTATTATTTCATGTAGTTCAATCTATGGTGAGAGAAATCAGAAGAGTGATTTATTTTATGAAGAACAGTGGTAGGTTAACTGTCAGGGCCATTAGGAGTGCTGGCAATATTTTTTTTATTGAACTGGATGATAGTTTCACAGGTATTTTCACTTTATGAAACTTCATTGAGTTTCATACGCTAATGAATTGTACACTTTTCTGTAAGTACACCTGTATAAATGCAAGTGTATTAAAAAACAAAACAACTCAGATTTCTCTTCCCTCAGAGCAGCAAGTCAACTACTCCATTGCTACCTCAGTAGAACCTAGAAGATTATTCTCTAGGGAGGATACAAAGAGAATCTTGAGTGAGTGACATCAAGCACAGTTGAGGGCAGCTATGCCTTACTGAAAACTTTAAGAATTAAGAAAGCCTACATATAAAAAGGTTCATGTGCTGGGATGCATGGTCTATTTGAACTGTAAGGTCAGCGGTTCAAGCTCATCAGCCACGCCTCAGAAACCCACTACAGGGTCACTATGGGTCAGAACTAATTCAACAGCAGTTAACAACAACACATACAAAGAACACTGAACTCACTCCATCTCCCCCAGCTCCTTTTCTTCTCTAGTTTTCCAGACTACATGCCAGGTTCTTCTCTTTGTGAAGTAAAATAAACAAATTAAGTAAGTAAATCTATTCCCTGATCCAACCCATGCAAAAACAGCACAGTAAGACCATATTATACTATGTCCAAGGCATATTTCAACACTTAGGGAAGCTGGAATAAAAGAAAAGAAAGTTTAAGATTCTTCATGAAAATATAATCAGCTAGACTACTAATGGGAGGATAAAATAAAAGTATTTACACACATGCAAGGTCTCAAAATTTACCTGTTAACACGCTTTCACAAGTAAATAATAGAACAAGGGGAAAATCCAACAAGGCTTGGGATACTGATGCTAGGGGATCCACCCCCTGAAAAAGAGAACTCTCTAGGATGTTCCAAAGGGCAATCCTCGGATACAGTTGTGCTTCAGGCCTAGACAGCAACTAGTCCACAATGGAACAGGTCAGAAGGCTCTAGTTGCGATATCTGCAGAAGATGTAATAACTAGAATTGCTTCCAGACTGAAATTTAGCATCTTCACCAAATTACAGGACGACAGGGGAGAGTGAATGACAAGACAAGAAATGTTAGCCAGCACATGCAGGTGGAGGAGACAGGAGGAGTTACAATGTGCTTGTTCTTTGTTGTAGGAAGTCAACAAAAAATGTTTGAGACTGCAAAGTCAAACAGTAAAAGTACAAGTAAACTATTTTGAGATATGAAAGTAAATACTCAAAGCAATAGCTTTAAAAAAATTTTCAAAGCACATACTTCTGGAGGTATGGTAACTTGACCAGGGTAGAGCTAGTATTAAGAAATATTAGTCAGAAGACTAATAATAAACTATGTGTTTAAACTAAATTAGTTTATAATAGTACAAAAGTAAAATCTTGATAAACATAAAATGTTTAGTTAGTGATTTATTTTTAAAAATCAATTTATATAGCACTTTAAACTGTCCCTCATCCTTTAACACTGCAATGCCGATCCTTCTATAATGCTTTTTATCTAAGCAGTAATATGAATAGGAGAAACATTGAGCTAAAAGTCTAGAGACTTAGTTCGGTTCTAGGGTCCATCTCCGTGATCTCATTTTATATTAATACATGGAGTTTTTTATATAAAAAAATTTCTATAGCCCCACTGTTAATAGCACATCTATACACCCAGCTCCTCTACCAACCCACACCTATACTCAACTGCAATATATAAATACAAATCATGCTAATGGGTTTTAAATATTAAATTACTTATATTCTGAGCTTTAAGGATGTTAGCATACCTGTAAAGAGGTTTAATGATTGTATAAATCTTCTTTCCCATAAAGTTTAAATACACAATCTAAACTTAGTAATTGTTGATAAGTGTCATCAAGTAGGTTCCAACTTCATAGCAGCTCTGTATAGGGTTTCTGAGGAGTGAATAATGAGTTTCAACCCTTGACCTTGTGGTTTAAACTGACCTTACTTACTATTGAGTACTTATGATATAGAGTTCTTTCAATCAAATGAGCCAATTGGTCAAGATACAAAGTTTTTATATTGAACAATGGTGATAGATTTTTTTTAATGCAAATAATTTTAAATGTTCATTAAAACAGGAGAGTTTAAGTCTGGATTTTGCTTTATACTGCATATACTAAGAAACTGAACAAAGTTGGGAAGTTTATTAGAAGGAAATTATAGAAAAAGGTGAATGTTGATAAATCCATTCAATATAAATCCTAGATTTTGGATTGAAACGATTTTAGGACCAAAAGAAGTTTTCAAGAATTTGGTCACAAATATTTAGACAAACATAATGCTGATAATACATATCTAAACAGTTATGAATTGAGTATTGATTAAAATGTATAAATAATTTCAAAATGATGAGAAAGTTGATTCCAAGCCAAGTTTACTGTTTCAACATTCTCTAAGGGTGTAATCTACTCAGTTATTTTTAAAATCTGGCAGTAAAATTTGTTAGCATTGGTAGTTAACAATTACTGAAATAAAGTTCTAACTTCTACAGCAAAATGCACAATTTTATACCAATATATATATAAAATGCTTTAAATCGTCCTATCTTTTATCTATGTATCAAGGAGCCCGGGACAAACAATGTTGTAAGCTGCTAACCAACCAATCCATGAGAGAAAGATGTGGCAATCTGCTTCTGTAAAGATTACAGCCTTGGAAATCCCATGAGGCAGTTCTATTCTGTCTATGGGGTCACTATGAGTTGGAATTGACTTGATGGCAATGAGATTTCATTTGATCTATAGAGGGCAGTTAACAACAACAATGTATTACACATGAATGATAAAATTACTTTCTAGCATGTTATATATGATTTGATAAGCAATCTGACTTTATAGTTAAATCTTGATAAACAAAAAGTTTGAAATATGCAGGATTTTTACCTTTTTCTTTAGCATGAATGTCATCACATATGTGCAGATCTAGATGAGAAATCACTAAATGATGGGAGGTTTCTTTAACATCAAAGTCATTGAATAGTTTCACAATTGCATCACTTAGATCAGGAGCATTTGAAGTCTGTGGTGTCTTCACTTGCTGGGTAGATGGTGCTACAGCAGAACTCTAAAAAGATGAAAAACTGCCCTATCACTGCAAGGTATATACTTCGCACTTTACATATAAGAATACCTAAGTATTTTAAATTACGAATTCATAAAAAGAATACATTTCCTTTTGTATCAATCACTCACTTCCCTTATAATAGTTTCCTAATTCAATAGGAAAAAAACCTAAAAGTGAAAAGCTGGAAAACTGTATATATGCAATTTGAAGAATCTGAACCCAATGTTTCTGTAAATCTTTGATCAGTTACGTCTATATATCTATAGCCCTCCTTGCTTTAGAAAATAGATTTAATTAGCTTATTTGTATATTAGTTTTGTCTATTAGTAAGTAAACAAATGTAGACCTTGTATACATTTTATCTTGTATATCTTTAAGAATAAATCACTTCTTTGTGGAAGAAGCCCTTGTGATATTTTATACAGTACTGTGAGTGCTCTGGTGCCTAAGTGGTGTGGTGGTATCTCTGAACTAAAACATCTAAAGAAGTCAGAATAGAGAGGGACTTATAATGAATATGATTTCAAATATTTTCCCCTAAAGAGATAATGCACAGAATACTGAAGTATAAAGACATATATGAAATTTCAGTAGTCTAAAAATGATCTTAAAACATAAGTATATGGTAAGATGATATGACATTAGAACCAAGACTCATATATGAGATTTTGATAATAATTATCGAAGTGAAGACCAAAATTTTCCATTTAAAAAGCTAACCATTTTAATGTTTATAACAGCATAAGAGTAAAAGTAGTTACTTATAGAAAACCAAAGTACATATATTCTATACCAACTATGATCACACTGTAAAATGACTTTAAAGAACACCTAATATATAAGAATCTCTCCTTGAAAATTATTAGGGCTCACAGTAATTAAAGAAAAGGAAAGATGACATATAGTTGTGAAACTTTAAATGCTAGGGACTGAAGCAACTTTTTAATTCAGTGTAAAATAAACCGACTTCCATGTGAAAAAAATGTCAAAGCCTTCACAAACTAAGATGATAATATTTCAATAGAAAACACTTTCCTGCATTTCCTGTATGCTTCTCTCTTTTTTTAATATATCAAAATAAATATTGATATAACTAAAAAGAGAAACAATCCCCCTAAAAATATGTAGCAGATTCACCTTTCTGGATGTGGTTTCAGAAAAAATAAGGGGGTTGGGGGCACTATGAACTTTTTTGCTTTCAAACAATCTTATTTTGTTGCTGTTAAGTGCTGTGGTTCCGACTCATAGTTACCCTAAACAGGGTTTCTGAGGAGTGGCTGGTGGGTTTGAACTGCTGACCTTGCTATTCAAACTGACCTTGCAGTCCTGTGCTTATCTACAGCACCACACCAGGACTCCAGAGCCTTAACATCTCTTAATGCTTAATTTACTGTCCTCTTTCTCTTTTAGAGATAAAAAGGATGAAGCCAATAAAATATTTATGATAGAAGATGGCTGTCAAGGGGACCTCAAATATCTGAACATTCTATGTGAAACTCGAGCGATGTCATGGCAAGTAACCAGTGAAGAAAATAACTCTGGCAATGAGAACGGTTAAGTAAATTCACTATGAGATATTTGTTGTTGTTGCTTCTAGGTGACATCAGTCAGTTCTGGTTCACAGAGACCCCATGTACAACAGAACGAAACACTGCTCAGTCCTGCGCCATCCTCAAAATCGTTATGTTTGAGCCCATTGTTGTTGCCACTGTGTCCACCTAACGAGTTGAGGGTCTTGCTCTTTTCTGCGAACCCTCCACTCTTCCAAGCACGATGTCCTTCTCCAAGGAACATGCCCAAAATATGAGAGACGAAATGTCACTATTATTGCTTCTCAGGAGCATTCTGGCTGTACTTAGTCCATGAAAAAATTTGTTTGTTCCTCTGACAGTCCATGGTACTTTCAATATTCTTTCCCAACACCATAATTCAAACTCATCAAATCTTCTATGGTCTTCCTTATTCATTGTCCAACTTTCATATGCCTAAGGAGTGATTGAAAATATAATGGCTTGGGTCATGCACAATGCAGTCCTCAAACTGACATTTTGCTCTTTTAACACTTGAAAGAGGTCTCATATTTTGCAGCACATTTGCCTAATGCTATACTTTGTTGATTTCATGACTTCTTGAGTACTGCTTTCAGGAGCACTGATTTTGCATCTAAGAAAAATTAAATCGTTGACAACTTCATCTTTTTTCCATTTATCATGATCCAGATGTGAGGATATAATATATTACAGAGTGACAAAACCAAATGATTAAATAGAGCAACAATATGGAAAAAAATCATATATACCTCTTACTACAACTATGAAAAATGCATGTTTATGCAAAAAATCTAAAAATGCTAATATAGCTTTGTTATGGTGATAGGAGTATGAAAATTTTCCTTGTTAATGGTGTTATAGGATAAGTACTCTATGGCTACTAAAAGGTCGGCAGTTCAAACCTACTATCTGCTTCATGGGAGAAAGATGAGGCTTTCGGCTTCTATAAAGATTTACAGCCTCGGAAACCCTATATAGTGTTAATATGAATCAGAATCGACTCGATGGCAGTAGGGATAGTTTAGTTTTAGTATCTATATTCCATTTCATATAAACATATCTACCTATTAAGTAAATAAGTTGCAATATCATGAACTCTCTATTAGTTTCTTAGTTTCAACTATCATCTCAATTAATGACATCTTAAGAAATGGAAATCTTAGCTGCAAACCTTAACAAACTAGTCTACAGCCATATGTCTATGATGATTAATATTGCAAAATAAAACATCCTCCTCCATGTCTTTAATCATGCTTTTTAAACTCCAAAATGGAAATCAATAATACTGTTTCTTAGTCTTATAGCCCTTAATCAAACATGCTTCGTTCTTCTGTATTACTTTTCTTGACTGATGATCCTTTCTAAAGTTCTCAATTTTTCCTTCTTCTGTATCTCCAACTGATAAAAAAAGAACCCTGTTGTTTCTTTCCATTGTGACTTGTTTTAAACCATTAAGTTAGTAAATCTATCTTTAAATCAAAATAATTTGCATATAAGTTAAATAGGTAAGACTGAAGATTGTATCTAACATCAGTTAGTCAAATGTTTGTCTTGTTGTTGTTGTTGTTAAGTGCCGTTGAGTCGGTTCCGACCCATAGCGACCCTGTAACAGGGTTTCCGAGGGTGTACATCTTTACGGGAGTAGAAAGCCTCATCTTTCTCCCGCGGAGCGGCTGGTAGTTTCGAACCGCTGACCTTAAGGTTCACAGCCTGATTCGTAAGCACTACGCTTTGTCTTAGTGTATAGTTTATCTGCAGTATACCTCTCTATGCCTAAAAACATTCGAGAAACATTTCTAGATAAACTAATGTTTTGATGTGTGTTGCAAACAGAGAAGGGGACTGCCTGTATACCATATATAAGACTGATCTTTTCCTAATCAGCTCCCAGATGCCTAGAGGGAAAAGTCCACATTCCTCAACCTATTTATTAGCCTTCATATCTAGCTTCAGTATACTTCTGCTTCAATTCGGGCCACTTGCCCAAGAATGCCCTATTCTATTTTATATTCCTGCAGCCTGTTCACAAAAGCATTTTTCTCAAGTTCCCCTAAATAATATTGAAAAGGTCTTATTGGATGAATAGTACTTATTTATAGAATGACATAGGGTTCACTATCATTATATGAGAGGGCTTTAAAAGTTATTGGAGAATGAAATGAAATGATAATGAAAATTTCCCACGAGCTTTCTGAGGTCCCGCAGGTAAGTATTCTGTTTTATGGCTATGGCTTCTGGGAACCATTAATCACAGATATACGTAGAATGGGAAGAAAGGAGTTGTTTTAGCAAAGTGGCTAGATTTTTTTTAATTCCTTCAAGTTAAATGCCAGGATTCACAAAGTGATCTACTACAAAAAATTATAATAAGCTGACTATTAATAGTTTCTTCTTCAAATACCTTGACAGCAAAGAACGAGAAATAATGTGACACATTCCTTTTATCATTCCTCATACACTTCCAAAATGAACAACAGTATTTCAAATTGCTTTTTTGTCTTGTTCCCCAGAGGATTTTTTTCATTTTGTTCCAATTTTCTGGATGAATCCACAACAGTAAGACAAAGGATAAGTACTAGAAGGCCTTTCATTTCCAAAGTGGAAGAGTAACTATGAAAAGGAAGCATCAGTCTAACATCTTAGGCATGTTCACAAGAAGACCAAGTTTAAGAAAGACAGAGATGTGCAATTCATTTTCCTTAAAACTTTTAATGCTTAATATCCCCTGGAAAGTTGTCTTCTAGCCCCAGAGGCATGTATCTCTTACTCTGAAAACCAGTGCTCTAGGAACGCAGACTCCTTATCTTCATCAGAAAGTACATGCAGGGTCTTTAACAACATCACACTGTTGTGGATTCTAGTTCCTCTGTTGAAATACCCTTCCCACCATGTCCACCTGTGAACTTCTACTCATTTTTAAGACTTAATTTCATATCCTTTTTATGAAACGTTTTTGAATTCTGTAAGCAGTTAAATAAGCTCCTCTGCCCTTCTAAACTCTCCGTATCTCCACTTTATACCTAGGATATATTATTTGTTTGGAAAGAACTACTTTCAGATACATGGTTTCAGAGTATCCCTCAAGGGAGTAGGTAAATTATCTATTGTTATTAAGTGCCGTGGAGTCGATTCCGACTTATAAAGACCCTGTATAGGGTTTCCAAGGAGTGAATGGTACGTTTGAACTGCCAACCTTGAAGTTCAAACCAACGTTGCATTTCAGGGCATTATCCTGCAGCTCCACACCAAGATTTTAGGGGTTGTTGTTGTTGTGAAGTGCTGTCGACTTGGTTCCGACCCACGGTAACCCTGTATAGGGTCTCCAAGGAGAGACTGGTGAGTTTGAACCATTATGGTTCAAAGCGACTTTGCTTTGTCACAGCGCCACACTAGGACTCTGATTTAAGAGGTAGGTAAATAAATATAAAAATTCAGTGGTGCCTTTTAATAAAATTGCTATCAAAGACCCATCGGAATTTTCAGTGCTCCTTCTAAAAAGATCTTCATGCTAAAATCTCAGAGTTGGGGAGACTAAAACACCTTTTCCTCTTCAAACTAGCTATACTTCTGATTTTCAACAGAGTAATAATTAAACTGCTCATAAGGCTGCCCCCGACTCAGAAAACTTTAAGAGCAGTTCAGTGTTCAACTGCAGCAATTGCTCAATGTCTTATTTTTGTGCGCTATTAATTCTCCCACTGCCTCCCCTGCCTGTCATTACTCAGGGATTTTTTTTTCCTTTCCTTCTACGCTTAATTTGGTAATTTAAAAATTATATTCTTTAACTCCAGTACTTAATACTGAGCTCCAAACAAAATAAGCACTGTACAGATATATACTAATAAATTTAATGTTGTTGTTGTTGTTAAGTGCCGTTAAGTTGATTCTGATCCATAGTGACCCTGTATCGGGTTTCTGAAGAGCAGGTGGTGAGCTTGAACTGCCGACCTTGCAGTTCACACGGCTTTGCAGTCCAGCACATTAACTCACAGTGCCACACCAGGACTCATGCTTCCAAACAGATAACCATGCATATAAAATTCCATTATTAAGATAATTAGAAAACGAAGATCCTTGGACTCAAAGTCTTACATTCGATTTTATATAAAGAAAATATCAACTAACCATTCTGATTTTCAAACTGTTCCCATGTGAAATAAGTGTGTTTGTCTGCTTCCCTGTATTAACAGCATACCTGTGTAGGTTCAGGAGCCATACTCTTCCTTTGTTCTGTTGACTTTTCTATTGCTTCACTAAGAGATTTTGCATATTGCACCATGGCCTTCAACTGGGAATCCGTTAAAACCCATAATAAATCATCCAATATTAGAACTAACTTTGTTGCTACGACATTGCAGTCCTTTAACTGTTAGGAAAAATAATTTATAAAATTACACCAAGAAATAAAAACTTACAAACTCTCATAGAATTAAATATGGATCCTTCATTTAACAAATACTTACTTAGTTCCTATACTTCCTAGTTCTCGAGATACAGTGGGGAAAAAGAATGAAAAATTCCTTATACTGTAACTAGTAGCATATTATTTCTATGTAACATAAATTTATATAAACAAATACCATGTGTTCCAAGTGCTTTGCATACGTGTGAGTACATATGTGTATAATACATACATCTTATGTACATACGTACATAATTTAATTTTGTACTTAGTTAATAAATCACATAATTTCCTGCATTCAATTAATTCTAGTACAGAAAAGGGAATTAAGATTAATTACAAACTGAAGTGCTATTTGAACCACATTCTATATTTCATAATTAAGTGCCATACCCTAAACATTTATTTTATTTAATTTAGAACAGATATTGTGTCTCATGGTATAAAACATATTACTGAAACTTGTAACGGAGCCATAGTTTAAAAACAAACATTACTTCCTCATTTCATCACAAATCATAATGGATGCTCAATTTCTGACATACATTTCACAGAATATTCTGTAACTTTCAAGTATATGTCTTCCCTATCTATCTAAATTACCAGTCATACCTTAATAATCTAGTAATCATTTTGGTTAGCATTAATGAATGTTTTACAGTTTATCCATGAGCAACATTCAGTAAAAGAAATGAAAATTTAAAACATAAATGTTTAACAAATGCTCAGCAACTGAGAAACACTTTTCAGAAATAAAAATCTAGAAGCAAGAAGAATCTTATCATTATACTGGATTTCTAAAATAGTGCTTGTGGCACTAGGTCTCCCTTGACTTTGGTTTTACTATGCCACTGTAGTATGCAAGCCAATCAGAGACCAAGGAGAAGCCACAGTCCTGGCCACACTTCATTCTGTCATATGAGGGGGCTTCAAAAAGTTCTTGAAAAATAGAATTCCAAGATAACTAAATTTTTCCAATTACTTTTTGAAAGCCCATTGTATAAAGTTAAGGAGGTCTAGTGGCACTGTAGGATAAGCACTGGACTATTAACCATAAGGTCGGTGGTTCAAACTCACCAGTAGCTCTGTGAAAGAAAGGGCTGTCAGCTCCCCATAAGGATTTGTAGTCTAGGAAATCTTTTTTAGGGTGGGTCACTATGACTCTGAAGTGATTGGCTGGCAGCAGTTCTGGTTTTGCCGAATCAATGACAACCACACGCACATCAATAGCTCACCTAAGAATCATTTTAAATTTCCTGTCAATTCCAATAGTTAACACAAAAATTAATAAAAACTGTAACCTTGTTGACTTACTCTTCTTTTTAGTGTGATTCTGATTTTTGATTGATTGGTTATTAATCGAACAGGCGCACACATAATTTCATGATGTGAACTTTGGGTAGCATCTGCCTCTATCCGAATCATCTGCCAATTTATTTCTTTAAATGTTAAAACCTAAGGAAAGCAAAAATGTAGCTTCATTTACTCATGCAAAAAAGGAGGAAAATGTAGATTTGTAAAAATAAACTAAATAAAATAAAAATGCATCTCAACTAATTTTTTGACACCCTAGACGTATTCACCATGCTTTTATTTTTTTATTGTATATATAAATCAAATTCAGTAATACATTTTCATAATTATATTAATCATCTGGAAAGCAAATAGTTATTCTCAGTAATTTAATGAATATAAAGTATAAAAGTACTTGAATGCAATGACTAAGAATTTAAATAACATAGTCTAGGTTTTTTTAATTTAAATTTTATTTTTAATAGGTGAGAAGATAAAGCAGGGCTCATTAATTCTATGAATTAATATATTATAGTAAAAACACTGAAATATGCACATTTCATAATTAAATGCTTAAGCACAATACAGGGAAAAGTAAGATTAAAGAGGAAGAACAGTAAATCTAATGCTCTGTAATTCTGGCAACTATATGAAGGGATTATTTTAAATGTCCTATTTATCATGGGCTAAAACATTCATAAAAGAGAAGATAGAAAGAAAAAAACACTTTACCTCTCCTCTCTGTGGGTCTTGTATACGAGTACATTTTAAATCTCCATGTTCCCAGTTTGCATTTACACTATATATCCGTAGCTGGGAAAGTTCAAAAGATGCATTAAAGGCTTTTGCTCCAATTCTGATAACAATGGAATTTACAGAAACAGAAATACCTTCAACTACTTTTTCAGCAAAGCCATATTCACTGAAGAAACAAAGCAAAACAAAATATAGTGCATTAAGGCAAAAAAAAAAAAAAAATCATTAAAAGAGAAAAGGCTGTCTGCTAATATTCTAACACAAATACATACATAATTTGTCCTAATATTGTATTTATGCATTTTTGCTTTAAAACTAACATTTTTGTTAAAACAAGAGTATAATTATACGTAAGTAATAAAAATGTTAGCCTCAAAATGACAAACGACTGAAAAACCAGAGGTTATTATTCTCTGGATTACATAATTAAAATCATTATATACAAAGCTGCCCATTTTTACAAAATACTAGTCTGGACCACTAGCATTAATAAAATAACTAATAGAGCTAAATGCTCAACATTAAAAAAAAAAAAAAAGCTGCAAAGTCTAAATGGGATTTATTTCAATAATTAAAAAAATAAAGTTAGTAAAATTTTCACATTCTAAATTCAATTAAAAATATTTCTTGAGCATCTGTCTTAGAACAATGTTAGGGCATAAGGAAACAAAGCTTTAATTGCAGCATTAGAGGGCTCACAAGTTACTTGGTGAGGGGAAAAACTACAACATGAAACAGCCTATAATTAAGTGCTTTAAGACACACCCAGCAGCAGACTTTACACAGAGAGAAAGAAGTTGCTTGTAATTAGGGAGAAATACACCTGGGAAAGAAGGATGACCTTTCCACAGGGAGAGTAACAAAAGAGGAAAATCTTAAACCAGAGAAACACATAAGCAAAGGCAGAGAGAGGCAAAAAGCAGAAGCCATGTTGAGAGAATGGTGAGTAGGGTGACTAGAAAATACACTAGCAAGATGAGGGGGCTTCAAAAAGTTTGTGGACAAGTCCATTATCTTTTAATTCCATCTTCCCGCAAACCTTTTCAAGCTCCTTGTTTTATTATTTGATAGAAAAAGTGGAGAAAGTTTTTGCCCAATTAGGAGATTACCTCAATTATTAGCAATTTGTCCATTATTTCTAAATCGCTATTTTAGGTAAAAAAAAAAAAAAAATCATTAAAAGAGAAAAAGTTACCTGCTAATATTTTTATGCAAATACACATGGAATTTGTGAGGGCACAAATTTCAAACTCAAAATGTCTAAAAGTGAACAAGTCATTTTTATTTGCTATCTACTGATCTTCCCTACATTTGCTGCTGATCTGAATTAACTGTTGAAACAATTTATGAGTGAGTCAAAATTATCCACACTATTTTAATCAACTTTTACAAAACAAACATATCATTTTTCAATATAATCTCTTTGTTGTTCAATACACTTTATCTGTCAATAAACTTTTGTATTCCCTTATTAAAAAATGTGTTAGGCACAAGAACACCCACATTTGTAGATAATACCCACATGACCTGGCTTCAATGACTGGATGATCAGAGCTCAACTAGAAGAAGAAAGAAGAGGAAAAAAAGAGTAATTGGATACAATTTGATGAACGTGACCTACACCTATGGATGCAGTAGCTCAAAAGAGGGAACAAATCCTTACAGCAAGGATCATTCCCACCCCCTCCACACACAGAGTAGACAGGGATGGGCAACTTGGGACATTGGCTACCCAAAATGGGGATGGGAGGCGCTACAAAGGCAAGAAGTGACTGGCTTACAAGCTTTCAAGAGGGATCCTAGATCCAGAGGGCGTGGAGGAAGGTAGAATCTCCACTGAGTAGTATCCAATCTGTCTAGGCAGGGCGGATGAAAAGAAATGCAGATGGGTCTCTTGTGATACAACAGTGAATAATTGTTATCAGGATTGATTGTGAGGGTTGGAAATGTAAAGGTAGACATTTTGTAGCAAGGAGGGGAGTAATTAACTTTGTAGTCTAGGAGTGGAGGTCCCTGGGACCATCAAGGGAGAAAAGCGGAGAGTGGGACCCTACCCAGAGAAGCAATGATGCCAGAGATGGAGGCAGAGACAATGACGTGGAAAGATGGAGCAGCTGGGGACTTTAGACCCAGAGAGGGAGAGGGGCTGTGTGCTGATGACCTGGGGGTCAGGCTTGCAGGGTATACCGTTTGGTTGGTTGATGATGCATGGAGGGGATTGTAACCATATAATGAAATGATATAAGATAGGTTGAATGTAAAACTAATGTTCTCCCATGTAAACTATCACATAATTCACAATAAATCGTTAAAAAAAAAATAAGTTTAAGCTGAACTGTGAGCCATGAATGCAACACTATCTTCACTTCTTCACCAGAGGTGAATCTTCATCCTCGAAGGGCTACTTCCAGGGGACCAAACAGGTTAAAGTCCAATAGCACATGATCAGAACTATAGGGCGAATGCTTTAACACTTCAAAATGAAGTTTCTGCAGAGTGTCAACAGTGTGGGCACACGGTCGACATGCATTGTGATGCAAGATCACAAAGTCCTTGGATAGCAGTCTTCTGTGTTTAATCTAAAGTTTAGGTTTCAGCTCTTAGTGAACATCTCACTGCTGTAAGGAGCACACTGTTCATTGCTGAACATTTTTCCTGATAGTGGCCTTTGGGAACTCTAGAAAACTGTAAGCAGCTATTTTCCAGTTGACAGTTGACTTTTGAACTTTTTCTTGGTTGACGATTGAGGATGCTTCCTCCATTCCATACTCTGCCAATTACTCTCAGACTTGTAATACTGAACCCATATCTCATCACCAGTAAGAGACGTTTACCATCTTTTGAGTGTCAGTGCAAATTTTGTTGGTAGATGTCCAAATGCTACTGTTTATGCTCTTCTATAAGTTGTTTCAGTATCCATCTCGCACAGACTTTTCTAAACCCAAGACTGTTGATGATTATTTCATAGGCAGAGCCATGGCTGATTTGCAAATTATCGGTCACATAATCCACTGTAATTCGTCTATTTGACAGAATCATTTCACGTGCATGTTCACTGTTGTCATCAGTCATGAACGTGGATGGGTGCTTTAATAGAATTGGAGTGAAGATAATTTTTTACTTACCCTTATCTATAAAACATATAGTCCCCTTATATATAAAACATATAGTCCACTGCTTGGATTATGATACTTTAGAAAACAAAACTAGTATTTATAGTGGTGGTGGTGTGCCGTGGAGTCAGTTCTGACTCCTAGCGACCCTGTACAGGGTTTTCGAGGCTGTAAGCCTTTAGGAGAGCAGAAAGCCTCCTCTTCATTCTGCGGAACAGCTGGTAGTTTCAAACTACTGACCTTGTGGTTAGCAGCCCAATTCGTAACCACTTATAGTATGATAAACCTTTAAAATCTCTAAGCCTCATAGAATGAAACTAATACTTGCCTCCATAAGTGGAAGAGTGTATGTGATTTTGTTGGTAATTACTGTCAAGTTGGTTATGGCTCATAGTGACACTGTGTAGGGCTTCTGAGGAGCACCTATACAGGTTCATTATGAATTTGAACCACTGACTTTGACGTTAAAAGGGCTTATCCAACAGGGCTCAATGTATGTGTGGTGGTGGTGGTGGTTATGTGCTGTGGATCAGAACCGACTCACAGCCACCCTGTATACTTCACTGGGTTTCAGAGGTTGAACAGATGCTGGATTCAAACTGCTAACCTTAGAATTAGCAGTCCAGAGCTCTGGTAGCGTAGTGGTTACGTATCAGGCTGCAAACCCCAAGGTCAGCAGTTTGAAACTAACCACTGTTCTGCAGGAGCAAGATGAGACTTTCTGCTCCCGTAACGATTTACAGCCTTGGAAACCCTGTACAGGGTCACTATGAGTCAGAACCGACTCCACAGCACATAACAACAACAACAACAACAACAACGCTACCAGAGCTCCTTTAGTGTACATGTAGTAAATTACATAATACTCAACATGTCTGAAGTAACTTTGTTATAAAAGGAAGTTGGTAGTGTACTTTGCAGATGACCTAACCTTGCTTGCTGAAACTGAAGAAGAATTGAAGCACTTACTGATGAATAATGAAGATCGTTGACTACAGCCTTCAGTATGGATTACAGCTCAACATAACGAAAACAAAAATACAACTGGACCAATAAGCAACATCACGATAAATGGAGGAGTTGTGAAGGAATTCATTTTACTTTGTTCATAATCGAAGCCCACTGAAGCAGCAATCAAGAAATCAAATGATACACTGCATTGGGCACATTTTTTACAAAAGACCTCTTTAAAGTGTTAAAAAGCAAAGATAACACTTTAAAGACTAAGATGTGCCTGACCCAAACCAAGGTTTTCAATTGCCTTATACGCATGTGAAAGATGGACAATGAATGAATAAAGAAGAAGAACTGATGCCTTTGAATTAGATATTGGTAAAGAATATTCAATATACCATGGACTACCAGAAGAACAAATGTGTTTGGAAAGAAATACAGGGAGGATGTTCCTTAGAAGTTAGGATGTTGAAACGTCATCTCATGGCCTTTAGATGTGTTACCAGACCAGTCCTTAGAAAAGAACAGCAAGTCAGTGAAAACGAGAAAAAGACTCAATAAGATGAACTGACAAAGTGGCTCCAACAACGGGCTCAAGTACAGCCAAGATTATGAAGATGGTATATGATCCAGCAGTGTTTGTTCTGTTTATGTAAGGTTGTTCTGAGTTGGAATTAACTCACAGCACGGAACAATAGTTTATTGAGTTTAGAAATTCAGTTTCACAGGGAGTCATGCTTTAACCCAAAGACAAACATTTGTTGTTCAGACAGAAATATTCCTGGGGTAGGAAAAAGTATTTCTGTAATAATCATATAGGAATAAATCTTTGGAACATCCAACCCTTTATACTCTAAAATTTTAGGCACATTAAAAAAATATTATAATCCATATTGAAGAACCTACAATCAGAAGCCTGAATTAATAACTAAAGTCTAATTTTTCTGGTTATGCTGCTATTGATAAATTTAAAAGGTGGCTTTATAGCTCACAAATAAGTGTTTTTAAGTTTGATGAATTTTCATATACATCTTTATCTATTTCATGTGAAATCATAAAGTCTTCCTGCCTAATTTATGTTTACTAGTCATGGAACCAT